AACACTGGTAGAATCACAGGTTGTCCAAAGTCAAAGAAACTCCAGATCTGATCCCGTGTCCAGAAATCCTTCCCTACAATGTCTCTGTTCGGGGATTCCCTAACCCCCTTTATTTGCCACCAGGAATGGGAGGTTCGCTGCCACCTTGCAGCCCTCTCCACAGACTATATAAAAAACCTGGCCCTGCAGCTTCTAGCCTCTGGTCTGGGTTCTAATCTTTGGAATCAGCACAAAGAAGCCCTAGCAACTATTTCTCCTGAAACAGCCCCTCACTGGGATGAACCAATGCATGGCCCAAGCCTTGCCCTAGGCCCCTCCCAACCAACAACCTACTGTGTGACTCAGTCCTTCTGGGCCTTAATGGACGGGTGATGGGTGGAGGGTGGTGGGTAGTGGGTGCGCATGTGTGTCTGTGTGCCTGCCTGGCAGCTGCAGCAGGGGAGTCAGCCCTGCATAGCTGGCCCGTGCTCACCAGGAGTCAAGCATTGCGTGGCGGGGATCACATCCTCATCCTCGCTCTCAGAGGAGCTCCTGGCTGTGCTCTCCGAGGCCCGGGCCTTCCTCGGGGCGCTCGCAGCCTGGGCTTGGGCGGGGGTAGCAGCTGGGCCAGCTGGACTACGATTAGGGTCGACAAAAATCAGAGGGGTTTTAATCACCTTGAAAAACAAAAACAAAACACAACCCCCCAGTGATTAAAGGCTTGGCCAGGGGAAGGGGAAGGTGGGGAGGGGAGGGTTTCACAAGGCAAGGGGTCCAGAGAGCTGGGGCAGCCAGTCATAGTCACTCCCAGCTCACTCCCAGCCCACGCACCCGCTGAGACCCAGCACAGCACCTCACAGCTCACAGGAGCCCATCCTGACCCTCACATAAACCCCTGAGGTCAGCAGTATTAGCTCCATACAAATAGGAAGACCACAAGCCCAGAGAGAGGAGGAGAGTTGCCCAAGGTCACACAGCCTAACTGAAACAGAGCCAGGGCCAGAACATCCAACTCAGCTTCCTTTCTCTGGCTGACCTCAGAGACAGACACTTGCTGAGTCGGGTGCTCTGAGCAGCGTACCCCTCGCTGCCTACTTGTAAT